ATATAATATGTATATTTGTAATATTATACAAAGTTAAATAACAAAATAAATAATAATGACAGTAGTCATAAATGTCAATAAAACACTAATGAAACTAATTTTTTGATAAAAATTCATCTAGGGTTGATTGGACTTTTCCGTCTTCGGCTAACTTCATTATCATATTTTCGTAAGATTTATGTTGCTCGAATACGTCAAAATCGCCTCTTTGCTGAATTCCTCTGCGTAGAATTTGAAGCGCTTCTAGCATTTGTTTAGTTGATGGTGGTTTTTCATCAGGTTCCTCTTCATCACTAATCACCAGCCACATTCTCTTTTGGCCGTTTTGACTGTATTTCATCACATATATCTTCCTCGGTAACGAGTTCGGTAGTTTGGACTTCTTCGTCTATATTTATCCATTCATTATAAAGTTCAGTTGTTAGGTCAGCGGGTCTTTCAACAACAGCTTCAACTTCTTTTGGATTGATAATGAAACCACCTTGTCGGAAACAATTGCGTATTGTGATTTTGCTGACGATATTCCACGCTTCATAGGCTAAATGCAAACCTTCAAGTACAGTTATTTTTTTAGCGATTTCATGAGCACGTAAGGTACATAATTCTTGTTCCAGGTTAGCATCAATCACATTGATCACATTCTTTCTCATGCCTGTTCTGTAATATGCTTTAAAAGTGCGTATAATCCCCTGATCACATGGTTGTATAACTGATGTAGTGTTAGAGGGTAAAAATGTGAGGTTAATATGTTTGAATTTTACTGTAACCATATGAGCCGTGCAGTTATCGACTAGCAATAAGACGTCATGTCGAAGTTCATTGTCCCACTTGGTCAACCATTCGGTGAAAATTTCTTTTGTCATCCATGCATTATTGTTTGCAGTATAGTCGACCGGTAGATTTTTAACACCCTTGAAACACCGGGGATTTTTACTTNTACCCTTGAAACACCGGTGATTTTTACTTTTACCAATCACAAGCAGTTTTCTTTTTTCACCAACCATACTCGCACAACATAATATGGTTAGACGTTCTTTACTAATTTTAGTTCCTCTAGTTTTTTCATTTTTGAACGCGTACGTGTGTTCAGGTAATGCCCTGAAATAAAGACCAGTTTCATCTGCATTGAACACACTAGACGGAGGATATTTGGCGATAAGAGATGGCCATTCTGAATGAATCCACGATCGTGCAGCTGCATGGTCTGCTTCTCCCTGTTCTCCATGTGGCTTAACAAACGAAATGTTTTCACGTTTCTTCCATCGGTAAAACCAACCTTCTGTTGCTACAAAATTATTTTTGTCCATTTTTTTCGCGAGTTCCTCAGCTTTTTGACGCAACAGTGGTCCTGTAACTCGGGCATCTTTTTCTCTGACTTTTGTGAACCATTGTTTCAAAGCGTCTTCAACTTCTTCTTCTTTACCGACTCTTTTTCTTTTCCGGTTTGAATTCACATTTGCTAATGATGCATTTTCGATTTTCTGTCGACTTTTTAGCATCCTACCTAGTAAACTTTGAGACACGTTTAACTTACATGCTGCTTGTCGCTGGCTCATTTGCGGAAGCTCGTCATATTTTTTAAGAACATCTAATTTTTCTTCTACACTCAAATCACGTCGTTTGTTCATTGTAACACGAAAAATGAAAATTTTTACAGAGAACGTAAACACAAACAACACGACGTCTATTCATACATTACCTGTCGTACTAATTGACATCAAAGACTGCTTCGTTTATCGTGAAAAGGTAATTTATTTTATCTCCACGATAAAAGCAATTTTACTAGGACCGACTTATAACGTATTTATAGCACGTTTGTTCAATGTATGTACACATTATTTTTATTTATCTAATTTTCAAATGACCCTATTAACCGGTGTGTGAGTCGAATATACGAATTTTTTGCTGTGTGTTAGTATATGTGTAAATAGGGACTAGGCGTTTTGAGTCTAATAAGCGAATGAGTCAATTAACCGTGAGTCCAATAAGCGGCGTCCACTGTATATATAATACAATTAATGTATACACTTGTCCATATAAAAACTATATACATTTTTATAATTTAAAGAATTAATTATAAATTTAACTCCATTGAAAATTATTTATTTAATATAGCCTAGGTAAAAAAATGTTAATAACTTCCTAAATAATGATCATATATTATACTACATATATTTATGAACACTTAATTAAAAAAGCTGCAAGATTTTATTTTAAAACTATAATTTACATTATTAGTATAGTAACGTTATCAATAACAATAATATTATTTGTAGTTAGATGACATTGCACAGTCATATGCAAATTATATAACCCAGACAGGAAATTTTGAAGTAGGTATATTCAATAATGTTTTTGGACTTTTGGTATCATCTAATGAAGCTAATGAAGACGTAGGAAAAAAGGTACCATTTGAAATATATAGCAATTTTGATAAAGGCGATACACCTTTTGATTTTGAAGCGAATGAGGAAGAAATGGTTAAAAGTAAGTAATAATAATAAATTATAATTAAATCGTATAAGAATTTTAGGAAAATGAAATAAACATAATTAAATTTATATTTTATAGTATTCTGTTTTTTAAGTTTGAGCTTCAAGCCATAATCAGAATTTTCGCAGGCTAATATTTAATAGATTTATTATTACTTTTAATTTACCTAGTAGAATAATTTATGTTATTTAGTATAAAAATAGGTGATGTATGTAGTTTTATAAAATAAGGTCAATATACACATACACCAGTACGTGGTGTAGACCCACTCGCATTAAATTTTCATCCAATTTATTAAAAAATATAGTTTAAAAACTAAAAAAACACGATTTTAAATTATATCGAACTAAAAAGTTAAAAATAATTTTTAAAATAAGCTTAAAACAATAATGAACGAAAAATACTAGTATTATTGTAAAAAAAGCGTCTGGCGCTCAATATACGAATAATATGGCATAAAGTGCTTTATTCCAAAAGCTACATGATCTGCTATTTCCTTATTTATATTCTGATTAAATAAAGTATGTCGAATGAAAAAGGGATATAAATATTATTTTTCATAAAAAATTGTGTTTATCCATACACTTTTTAATGAGTTATAGCATTATTAAGTTAAAAATGTAAAAAATAGAATCGAAAATGTTCACACAATAATTGCATTCGGTAGCCATTTTCACCGTGAAGATAAAATAAAGTCCGAAATATTTTTTTTTCATATTAAGTATATTACATTAGCATTAATTTAAAATATATATAAAAGTGTCAGACTTTCCGGAACACTTTCAAAATTTAAGTTAAAAAAGTAAATTTTTTGTGAAAAAGTTGTCATTTTAAATCCCCCCCTGTGGGCAGGTTAAGGATCAGAATTATAAAAAAAATATACCAAATAATAGGTAAATCCATCAAGCATCTATAAAAATAAATTATATTGATTTGGTCATTTTTAAATAAGTTATGGCAGTTTTAAGTAAAAAAAATTGAAAAACTTTCGAAAATTAGCGATTTTTAAATTTGTAATTTTTTTGGAGGGTTCCCCTATTTACGGGGAATGAGGGAAATATATTCAATTTTTGAGGGTAATGTCTTCGACTAGATACAATTTGTGATCTTTTGACATATTGTTCATCAAAATCGGTTCAGTGAGAACTGAGAACAAGTGGTAAAACCAAAAAATAAAAAACACATTATAGTAAAATTAATGCGTAAAGAGAAACTCTTCGCATTGAAGCTAAAAAATATAAGTGTTTATTAAAACCTAAAAAGAAAGAGTTGGTATTATATTTTAAATTCCCTTAGTTCATATTACTATAAAACAAAATGTTAAATTAAATTTTTTAATAAAATATTATAGATAAAACTGATTGTGAAAAAGAAAACGTATACATTTTTTTAAACTTTAATATTATTAAAATAGTTAAAATAATCTATATGGTTAAGTCACCTAGTGGATTTATTCACTTGATTTATTAACATATGTTTACTAAAATTTATTGTGTAATTATAACCTTCAAGTATATATCAGTTTTTAATAAATTACTTTTATACAGTAATAAATTAACAATTATTTGTTAGAGTACCAAAAATAGTTTAAAATAGAATTTACCTTATACCTAAGTTGTATCCAATTGATTTATTATTTTAAATTATTTTTACTTAAAAAAAATGATAAGTTAAATTTTAAATTTCTATTTTTAAAATATAAAATAAGCAATCAATTTTAATTATATTTAAAAATTTTTTTTATAAAGATTTAAGAAATCATTAAAATCTAAAAAAAAGAGTCGGTATTATATTTTATATTCCCTTATTTTTTATTACTATAAAATAAAATATTAAATAAGATTTTTTAATAAAATATTGTAAATAAAACTGATTATGAGGAAGAAAACATATTGATTTTAAACCCGAACACCTTTTGTTTTTTATTAGTCTCGAGAATAAAGGCGTGTTTGGGGAGGTTAGGTGGGCCAATAGTATAGTATTAACGGTTGAATGAAAATGTAGAATAATTTTTTATCTTAATTGCATTAAAAACGAAATATTAAATATAATTTTTTCATTCTTTATCAATTTTTTAATTAATATTGTAGATACGTCATTTTCACGAAATTTTAGTTACGATATTAAGTGATGAAAACTTGTGATATGATATCACATATTTCAGAATTATATGAAAAAAATGGTTTAGCGAATTCCGCGTTTATTAAAACGAAGATGCGAAAGGACATTTTACGTTATTTTTATGCAAAAGAATAGGTTCGGTTTACCTAACGTCATATTTTGACGACAAAACCTCCTCAGACAGCAATTTTGAAAAATAATATTATAGAAACATTCTTATATTATTATACGTTAAAATAACGTTATAATAACATTACTGTAAAATAATTAATAATAAAAATGCCGTCTGGGTCGTTTATGAGTATTGAATTAAGGCTAAATAATTTAAAATTTATAAACTAATTATTATTTATTTAATAAGCTGTATGATTTTATATAGATGAAAATGTTGAAGATCGTCGAAGTTCAATGTGTATGATTTGGAAAAGTGCTACAAACATAGGAATTGGTGTGGCAAAAACATATCAAATTCAAGGAACATTTTATATTATTGTAGCAGCAATATATCCTAAGTCAAACGAATTGGGAAAATATAAAGAAAATATAACACCTAGAAATCTTGAAGCCATGACTCATTATGGTTATTTTGAAAATCTTCAGAAAGAAAAAGAACGCAACAAAAGTTTTATCAGAATCGAAGTCGAGCCATGGGTTCAAAATATTATAGATCGTTTAAAAAAAAATGTTTTTGGCAGTGATTAAAAAGATAAATAAAGGTTCAATATTATCGCTTATTTTTCGACGATTATTCTGTTAAAATTAATATTTTTTTATAACCAAATTAATCATTATAAAAAATCGTCTATATTTTTAATCAAATTTTATCGATTTTTTTTTATATTCTCAATTTATTTTTAAATGACATTTAAAAAATATTGTTCTTGATTGATATTTATATTTATGTATAAATTATTAGCTAATAAGAAGCTCATAGTAACTCTAATAGCATATTAGTAATATATACACTAATACATATATATATATATATTATAGTGATGTTATAGTGATGTTGAAAAAATTGTCAAATGGTTTTCATTAAATTATCCATTCCCAAACAACAATTATATTATGTCAATTGCCACCGGAATTTCTGGTAATGATAAAGTAAATTGTCATAAAGCGTATGAAATTGGTCTTGTTTTAGTAAATTCAATGGTGGGTAATAACTTTCATGATATAAAACTTAAAAGGTCAAATAAAGTTATAACTCTAGCTTCAATAACTTCTGGTATTAAAATTAATAATGAAATAATTAAAGTAAACCCATTACTACTATTTCAACGAATCGCTATTTTAAAAAAAAGTGATGAAGAACTTTTGTCATATCTTCAATTTGAACTCGCACCTTTCCCTTTGGCATTATTTGATGAAAACGGTCTTAGAAAAACAAAAAAATCTGCCTTATATGATATTTTACAGCACATACCTTTAGAAAGTTTATATATTACTAGTGCAAAGTATGTAATTGATGGAGAATTTCTCCTCCATAAAGTTATTTGGCAAATGTATCAAACATTTGAATTAATTTGTGAATCTTATGTTACTTATTTAAAAAAACACTTTGGTACTGATGTAATTGTTGTGTTTGATAGTTATCAGAATAATGTAAAAAGTATAAAAAGTTCAAAGCGACAACGTCGAAGGTTAAATAAAAAATGTGCTGATGTATTTTTTGAAAGCCATATGGTTGTTCCTGTTTTAAAGGACAACTTTTTATCAAATGATAATAATAAAATTAGATTTATTGAAATGCTTAAAACTAAATTAGTATGCAATGAATTTGCTGTTAAAATAGCAAATGATGATGCTGACACATTAATTGTTAACACTGCAATTAATGTGTCTAGTTATCATCCTAAAGTTATCGTGGTTGGTGAAGATATTGATTTATTAGTACTTCTCATCGCTTTAACTCCTAGTGAAAATAATATATTTTTTTTAAAAGCAAGCTCCGGTAATGAAGAAAAAAAAATGTTTAGTACTGAATTTATACAAAAAAATAATCCTTCATTGATCAATAAAATACTATTTTATCATGCAATAAGTGGATGTGATACAACGTCAGCCTTATTTCAAAGAGGAAAAAAAAATGTGTTCAAATTTTAGAAAAACGAGAGGATATAAATTCAATTATTTCAATTTTTAATAGACCTAATTCATCTCATGATGAAATTGCTTAAAATGGTATTCAGTGCTTCTTATATTTATATGGAGCACCTGAAAATGAAAAATCTTTGAATAAACAACGTTTTAATTTATTCACAAAATTTGCAACGAAAAATAAAACTAATCTTGCTTCACTCCCTCCAACAGAAGATACTGCAAGACAACACTCTTACCGAGTTTATTTACAAGTGCAGTTATGGTTGGGTCGCAAAAAAAATTCCTAAGAGTGGGGGTGGGTTTTTCAGAATAATATTTTGTCCCCAGTTACAACATTGAAAGCTCCAGCACCCGACCAAATACTTAAAAGCATATCATACAGTTGTGCCAAAGGTTGTGGTAAAAATTGTGGCTGCCGAAAAACTGGACTTATATGTTCTATTATATGTGGACATTGCAAAGGTCAATGGTGTACAAATTCAGTAGAAATAGAGATTGAAGATGAAGAAGATTGTACTTTTGTTGAAGATTTATTCAATCAAAATTTGGAGAAGGACAATGAATAACAAATATAAAAAAAATTGAAAATTTTAATACTCTTATCATTGTGTCTGTTGTAAGAATAATATGATAAAAATTAATCGTAAAATGGAAAAAAATTGAAAATAAATTTTAGTACTCATATTAAATGTAATGTAACTCGAAAAATATTTGTTTAAATAAAAAAATATAAGATACCTTTTTTGTTTAAAATTGTTTTTTAAATAACTTTTGTACGAAACTTTTTTTTGTAAGTTAAATATTTTTTGAGAAAATTAAAAAAGCTCATATTTTATAACTTTTGCGAGACTGTAAAAAAAAAAGCTCAAGTCCAATCGATAAGGACTTTTAGTATGTCATTATACATATCTTAATTCAACTTTAAAAAAAAAAAAATTTTGGTTGGGAATTTTTTCCGCCATTTTTCCTTCGTTGACTGGCCTAATATTATTAATTCTAAAATAGGTTTCATACGATTCGTCCGACACGTACGATGCGTACTTATAGACGCGTACCTAAATACACTACATGGTCATTAAGAAAGACCAGTCGTGACAAATCATACACAATTGAATCACCATACCTCACTCCCCAAGTCGTTTAGTAATTCACATTATACTTATATATTTATAAAATATTTTATATACATACACACTATGTATTGTTATAAAGATAACAGATTGCGACGCTTTTTAGTGTTATGAAACGACCACCTGTTGACAACCTTCTGCTTGAAACTTACCATCTATTTAACGATTTTTCAATGTTTCAATAATATTATATTTATAAAAATGCTTCTCAAGTTGATATAAAATTTTAAACTAGAAAAACGAAATAATTTTAAAGAAAAATTATCGTTTTTTTATAACCTATATTATTAACTACAATCGCAACTCTAAAGCACTATAATTTTTGAACCACATACTTCCGCTCAAATTTTTTTACATATTCTTAATCTGCATAAAAAACGAACGTTTAAAAAAAAAAAACTTGAAAAAAAAAAGGGTGTCCCGTAAAGTAGATTTATACCTCTATTGTATATATATTACCAGTTGGGTCATTTATAATATCTCTATAACAGGAACCTTAATTATTACTTATTATATCTACTTGTCTTTATTATTCTAATTCCTCGGACTCTACAACCCCGATAGAAACATAGCCGATAGAACCATAGTCCTAGCACTAAAGGCATTTACCATCTTTATTTTTGTATTTATTACAATAAAAAAATCACGCTGTATAGTATTTAACATAAGCTCTAATTTGACATATATTTAAATCTCCGAGTATTTCCGGAACATTTTCAAAAAGTAAGTTGAAAAAGTTCTCCTTTTTGTTTGCATTTTTAAAGTTTTTAACCTCCCCTGTATAAAGGGAAAGGGTCCGATTAAAAATAAACGTATGTTCAATAAAAGAAGTAAACATAAAATATTTATCAAAAAAAATTGTATTGATCCATATATTTTTCAAAAAGTTATAAGCAATTTAAAATTGAAAAAATAAAATATGAAATTATAAATTATAAATTTTAACACCAAAAATGCATGTTTTTTAACTACGGCAACCATTTACACATAGAACATAAGTCGTCGGGAAAAAATTTTTTTTTAAACTATTAGTATATAACATTATCTATATTTTATCGAATGTTTGAAGCTCAGAGTATTTCCAGAACATTTTTAATACTTAAGTTGAAAAAATTAATATTAGTGCAGAATTTGCTATTTTGAATACTCCTTTAAGGGCAGGAAATGGGTTAAATTTTCGAAAAACTTATATCAAATAAAAGGAAAATATCTAAAGTTTCAATATAAGCAAAAATTATTGTGATATTTCATTTTTTATAAAGTTAAAGCAGTTTTAAGAAAAAAAAGTTCAAATAATGACGAAGTTAACCAGTTTTAAAAATCGTAATTTTTGGGGGAATTTCTGTTATTTATGGGAAACGAGGGAAAATTTTTAATTTTTGAGATTTCTTGATGTATTGTTGAGAAAAATCGGTGCAGTGACACCTGAAAAAAAGTAGTGACAGTAATAATAAAAGTAGCACAGTAGGATCATGGCACAATGTTAATTCTAAAAGTTAATTCAATATTTTTTTAGTAGGGGTATTTTTTTGAAAAATTATCATTTTTATAACATATACATATTTTTTTGCTCATCTCCTTAAAAACTAAAAAACGGTAGCACAGTATGGACGTGGAATAGTTGGGACAAGTATACATGTTATCTGACAGTGATTAAAATCACTACCTTAAGAAACGCTTTGATGCAGACCTGTAGATAGTAATTAATTTTAAGAAATTAGTAGTTTAATCCAAAAACAAAATTGACTCCTATTTCCTTCTTTATTCCTAAATAGTAGTTCTATAAATAATACGAATAATATATAATTATATATGTATTAAATCAATTAAATATAGTATGAAATTGATATTTAACAATTTAGTATTATATAGAATTTAGTATAGAATTTTTACGGAGAAATTATAAAATATTACACAATAGTTATTACTTTTATAGTAAATGTGTATAAATATTGAAATATTATATACAAAACTATTCAGAAGATGATTTGTGGTTAATTATGAATTAATAGTCTACAAAGACTTTTCATCAGAGTAAAAAATATACTTTTCTAAACCCATTTTATGTGCTGGTTTCAATTCTGCAAGTAGATTTTTTCTATTGCCACTAATTTTTAATATTATGAAATCTTAAAAAATTATATTACAAAATTATTTGTGAGTAAATGTTTAATTACACATAATATTAAATAACATACATGTATTGATAGAGTACATCCATATATAATTAACAATTTCATAAGTGTTTTTTTAAATAATCATTAATATATAAATTCATCATAAATATTAATTTAGTTATAATTAAACATTAATTTTAACAGCATAATCATCAAAAACCAACTAAGAATCTATTGAACGTTTAGTTTTCTTTTTTTTCAAGGCTGACATTTCTTTTAGAAGAAGATCCCGTAAGTTTTTTGACATATGACAGGAAATCGTATTTAATCATATTTTCGTCGCGTTTTTTTGCTTCCTGAAGAAATTCGAAATAACCATCATGT